TTTGTTGGTCCTAATGGTACAATAAGCTGCCCTGGGACATCAGCCTCTGGTCATGTTGGTTGTATCATTCATGCTTCATCAGAAGTTGCTCAGATGAGCATTACTGTATACCCTAATATTAGTTTTGGTATTTCACCAGCTGATGATGGATGGTACAAGTGCTGCATGCCCAATAATTGCTCTGATCCTAACACTAATGTAATCACTTTCAATATATTCAGTAAGTCCTTTTGTATATTTTTAAAAGTGCTTACTTTTTTGTCTTTATAGGATGGGCACAAATTGCAGACATGAAAGTTAGTCTTCCTTCAGATATAACAGCCCTGCCTCAAATATACACAGTTCATGCTATCAAAATTGGCTCTAACGGTCATCACTTAGGGAGTGCTGCCTGGTACTATAAATCTGGTACTACCTATAGACATTTAACTACTAGTTTATGCAATAAAGAGCCTGGATTCAACTGTGCTATTTATAGTACTGGAGTATTACTGGACATAAGTAGTGGGACGTATGATTTCAGTCTAACCATCACTTGGAATGGAGAGAATATTACTAGTGGATTACTGAGTCAATCAAGCAACAATGGGGATCACATCTTTGTTTTTTCTATGGTTTTTGGCCCGCTCAGCTTTCATCCTGTCAAAAGAGCTAGAATAAAAACCATCACAGGCAAGTTAAATGCATAGCAATGATATTATTATTATCACTTCATGTATAGCTCCAGGGTCTGCTCCTTCTTCACTTACTGTGGTCAACAAGACAGCTACCACTATCACTGTCAGTTGGACTGCACTTGATTCATCTGATGCTGATGGATATGTAGTCAATTTCACTAGTGACACATACACTGTGCAGACAGTACAGGTGGAGGGAAGTAGTAATAATATTGTTACAGTGAATGGACTGATGGCAAACACAACTTACAGCATTACAGTCAGAGCCTATCAACAATTACTGGGACCTGCTAGTAGTGCAATCAGTGTGCAGACTTCATCAGGTTAGTTTTTACTTCATTTAGTACAAGTCCATGCACTTAATAATTGTTGAAAGGTTATTATGTCTATATATGTGACTGTTACCTCTAGACAATACAATCATAATTGAATCTATTCAGCAGTAGCTTTGGGTCACACATAAATAACTATTGGCAACGAGAGAGACACAATTAGACTGTTATTTCCTGAACAAAGACCCCACCTGCTTCATATTATACAGTAGAAAAATATTCCCCATATATATATAAACCAGTGTGATAGATAAATCTTTAAAAGTTTCAGCTAACATAAGAATACAAATTAATGAGATTATACATTTACCTTACTTGTCATAATTAGGAGGTTATTGTTCCAGTGAGTCTATTGATAGTGATCATGGTACATTTGTGTGGCCTGAGACTGATTCAAGCATGAGGGCAGTAGTAGCTTGTCCTTATGGTCCTAATGGAGTAACAGTTAGTAGAGTGTGTACAAGTAATGGCGGCTGGGAATCACCTAATGTGACAAGATGTCTGACTGCAATATCCAGTGGATTCAAAAACTTATCAAAAGTGAATAGTCAATTACTTTATATTGCATTTATGTTGTTTTCATTCAGGTTGACTTGACTACAGAGAATAACATAGCTGTGTTGATGAGTTTGAATGAACTTGTGATGAATTCAACTGATAATGATCAATCCATTGATAATATCATAATAGTATCAAATATACTGAACCAAACTGCAATATTGATATCAGGCCATGCTGGTTTATCAACCTCTAACTTAACAATGGTGAGCATGCATTGTACATAATAGTTTTAATAGTGCTACTGTATAATCAGGGTTTCCCATGAAGCATGCCAAGTAAGCAAGGCTTTTTTACAGATTCATTAAAAATCCAATTTTGACCAGAATTAGCTCAAACTTTCTACACAGCATAAACATCAGAAAAATATATAAAAGAAAAATCTTCTCCTAGTCATTTTTAGTAAAATTTGGCTCAAGGACTTTGGTCTGATTTTGGAGCAAGTTTAAAGTCCAATTTTGATTGGAATCTGGCAATCTGCTCAAACTTCTACACAACATAAGTACATGTATGTGTATCAAAAAATTCAAAGCAACTTTAAAAATTCACTGACAAGAACCACTGTGCCAATATCCCATGGAAAATCCTGCATACAACATGTCACATAATGGTTTATTGTGATAATTTTACTATTCATAGATCACTGAGAACGCTATACAAATATTGAATAGTATAGGGGAATGGCCAAGCATCACAAGAGCAGAAGGAAACCAGTGAGATTAACCATTATGATTATTATTAATGGTTTTTAATAGAATCATTCAGTCATTTGAGAGAATAGTAGATGCTGTTTTGAATCATAACAATGACACTAATGTAGACGTAGTTGAAAGTAACATTGCCTTTGCAATAAGAAAGGTAAATAAAAATGAATAAACTACTATTGTTATAATTTTTTAATTTAAAGTTTGCAAAGTTTAATTATAATGGATTTACATTCACGACAACAGCTTCAAGTTAGTTAATATTTATACCAACTATTATTATTTTTTATCCATATAGATGGTTCATTGATGATAGATACTGATGGTAATTCTATTGATACTGAAATAGGATCAATGACAATACCAAAGAGCATTCTCAGTGTCACAACTGATGCTAAGATAAAACTAGCATTCTCTCTATACAATAAATCAGCATTCTTTCCTATCAGAGATCCTCCTCCTAATACAATAGTGGGATCATCAGTTATTAGTGCTAGAATTGCTGGAGTGTCTGATGGTACTCAACTACCTGATCCAGTAGTAATCAATCTTGCACTAAAGACAAATGTAATTATACTTGTATATTGCTACTATCATTCATAAAGACATCATTCATAAAGACTTACATTTTATAGAACTCTAGTAATCCTTGTTGTGTCTAC